CGATTGATAAATGAATGCAGATATTTACGTTGAATACGCAACTTTTAAAGATAATAAGATTAAATTTGTACGCCGTATTTTTTGACACCTTCAAATACCCGGATCAGAACAATTAATCTAAAAGCCATTTAGATTGGGTCAATGCTACAATTTGTATCTGATATCAAGCGCCTAACAGTCGTTAGTTTCATTTTGTAAGGCATTTGTGTGCGAAACACAAACAATTCGAAAATGAATGTAGGTGTACTTTCGCGATTCGCAGCCTGAAAGTTTAATTCCTCTGCCATTAGATTTCAGTAGCCAAACCGAATTTTGAACTCCCATCTTACACATCCTATTGTTCTCGTTTACTAACTTTGTAGATATATGGGGATTAAAAGGGTTATATTAAATTCTCCAAAAATTCAATAATGGGTTTCCTGGCGCGTTGAGCGTAAAATTTTAGTATGTCCTGAAATTGTTTGGGTATCACGTAACAAACAATTGTACTATCTGATATGCGTAGTTAATATTAGCTATATACCGACTATATAAATACGTATATAGAATTACAACTTTTACCGCGCGTTTAGGTATAGGTGTAAGTACACAACCCTCGTCATCGTAAGGTCGCCAGTCCTGAGACTAGTTGGACATGCACCTCCACTCCTTCCTATCCTGAGCTAGTCTTCGCATTTCCCTAAAACTAGAACAACCCACATCCTTAATCATTTTCGAACAGTAATCTAATCCAAGTGTACCTCTACCCCTCCTAACTCCTGTTTCTGCCTCTAATATGTCTCTGACTAGACCTTCATGCCTGAGAAGGCGTCCTACCAACCTACCTCGCCTATTTATTATTAACTTCCATAGAGTCCTCCGTTCTCCTATTCTTTCTAATACCTCTTCATTTCTAACCATCTCTATCCACGGTATCCTCATCATTCGCCGGTAACACCACATTTTGAATGCTTCTAACCTTTTCTTTACTGCCGCGCTCACCGTCTTTGTTTCGCACCTGTATAGCGCCGCACTCCAAACATAAACCTTTACCAATATTTATCGAATTTCTAAATTAATCATTCGCATAGAATGTGACTTCTTTTTATTGAAGCCGACTCGACCCTGCGCTATTCTCTGCATTATATCGCTACTGCTCCTTCCGTCCTAACTTATCTCACTTCCTATGTACCTAAAGTCAGCCACTTCTTGTAATCTTTCGTCCCCTATCTGTATATTTGCTCTTTCCCTACTTTTTCTTGCCTTGCATATCAGTACTTTTGTTTTACCTTTTTTTATTTTCATACAATACTGTTTTGTCAATACCGCTTCCATATTATTTAAAACTATCTTTAACTCCTTGCTAGATGCTGATAATGCTATATAACCTAACTTAACCGAACTTTTAATGGATTTATTCGAGTTTCTTTATTCTATTGTAGGTATTTCAGTCATGTCGAAACATATTTTAGGGATTACTTTTCAATTTTATGGATTAGACATTAAAACTTTTACCTACCCTTGATGAGAATGGATTATTAAAATAAACACAAGAATGTTTCAACAATAATGTAATTAAAGGCAACTCCACAATTGTTTCGACGTTTTAAGGGTCCAGAAAACTCTAACTAAGACTAACATGTAAATTTTCAAAATTTATACTAAACATAGGAGAGTGGGGGTTCCATAGAGTCAATCGTAAAACAACATGAGACTTAAAATTGAAAGGTGTACCTACTAAAAGTTGGTGATTCTCTCTTATTATTAACTAATATTTTTCCTGCTTGGAGAGCGTACTAGATCACTAGATTGATCTCATTTAATCTCATCAGCACGCCTTACGCAGTCTCAATAAGTCACCAACTAAGCTGAAGATGAAACAGTTCAGTTGGCGTCAAATATCAGTAGATGGCGACACACTACCGTAACTCGATATTTTAACTATCCATTGTCACTTTATTGCTTTGTATTTTACTTCATGGTTAAAAGAGTTGTTGCCTTGTTTTAGTAATCATTAATATAATTTATGGCTTTCATCCACCGATTTGAAGCATTAATTGAATTAGAAAATAGAAGACTGTCAATCGTAAATATTACAGTTGATGCCAATATTTTTTTTATAGCTAGCTTAATAAAACAGATACGTATCATAGAAATCAAAATACTTTCATTTGGTCCACTTAACATTAATATGAATTACACTAATCTGGTACAACGTAATTTCATTCTTCTACATTCTGTGTCCATTCAACTCATTGAACGAATTACACTATGCAATTTAGTTGTTCGTCTCTGATATGAAGATGGTATATATTTATTTGTGCATGTAGTAAAGGATTACCGTGTATGACACAGAAACATAATTAAATACAATGGGAATATAACACACAAACTCTCAGAAACGAAATTACCTGATCATTTGTTACCTATGTGAAATCATAGTGGACTGAATAGAAGTAATATGATTAAAACGGAGCGAAAGCTTTCTAATGTAAGTAACTGTTTATTAGATATTACAAAAGAATATGGATGCGAAGAAAAATTAATTCTAGATGAATTTATTATTATCAATCTTTTAATATGTTAATAAAAGCGGAGAGTTAATATGAAAAGGAAGCTTCTTGTAGATTTACCATAGTAAGTAAGCATTTTGATTGTTTTGAAATAATTAAGTCAATATCATTTAAATGTACATTATTTCTCATGCATAACTTAATCCTAAATGATTGATATGAATGGCATTAATAGTATGATTTTCATCCTCTGAAATTTCATCTCTGTTTCTGTAAGTATATGAATAAAGGTAATGAAGTTTTATAAAAGTTCATCATCAACATTAGTAATAAATAATTTTCAAATTCTTAATTTAACTGTCCAAAAAAGGCTGAGCTCCAAACATCCAAAGATCATCTTTCGAAAGAGTGATTGCAATTCCTTAAAAAATTTAGTTAAATTACAAGTTGTAGGTTCTCTGGACGTTTTATACAGGGTGAATCATAATTATTGGGACATAGAACAAGTGCAGGTTATTTGGACCAAAATATGAATATTTGACCAAACATGCCATAATAAAATTTTGGAAAAGGATACTGGGTGTTAAAGGTAACATATTATTTTTGTGTTTTTTGTAAATCGTTTTCAGAATTGGCTTAGAGGAATAACTTTAGCCAAAAAATATTATTTTACTACATTTTGTACATCACGAGCAATCTCTGAGGTTTTTTTTAATGTCAAAAGGTTCTTCATCGAAAGAATTAGAAAAGGCATAGAAGTAAGAAAACACATAGAACAATCAATTTGATTTTTTTTATTTTGATTAACCTATTTGTTGAATATTCCGCATTACATGTTTTCTACTGCTTCTTATTTGAACTTCCTTTCCGAGGATCTGAAATGTTCAATTGCCTTGTTATCGAAAACCGTTGAAATTATTAAGTTAAAACAAGTATAACAATTTTGCATAAGAATGATGTTTATATCGTGTTTTAAGTAAAATTGCTAAAAAGCATTATAAAAAAAATATGACCCAGTTTCATCCGTAAAGATCACCCACGTGGCGCCCCCTATAACAAAATGTGAAATAATAAGTGAAATATTTTTCGCCTACGGTTATATCTTTGTGTCAATTTTGAAAACGATTTATGAAAATCTTGTGAAATTATTGCCAAAAAAACGGAAATAATATGTCATCTATTTAACACCCTGTATCTTTCTCCGCAGCAACATTTTACTAATCGTAATGCATGTTTAGTCAAATCATCAAATTTTGATCCAAATAACCTGCACTTGCTCTATGTCCGATTAGTTTATGACTCACCCTGTATAAGTAGCGTTTCTTTTAAAAGTAATTTGCATATCGTATATGACGTTTTGGTTTGTGAAACAAATAGGATAAAATTAAAATTCAATCCTTCCTGATTATTAAAAAAGTTATTAAAATTCAAGAATGTCACATATTTTGTTTGACATGGCAATTAACCAAGTAACCCACTCTAATTTTTAGTCTGTTCTTTGTACCTGTTTAAGCAGTATGTTAATATACTAATCGTAAGTAGTTAAAATTGAGTTGTACAGCCGGTTTGCAGGTGAATCGTCTGCGTTTTATTCTTCTGAAGCACTAAAAATATCAAGTGCTTGTTATTTTTTATTATTTTTTTTTTTTATTAATTGACCACGCTCTGTCTACCTCGATTTTCTGCGTAAATCTTACAAGAACGACGCATTGCAAATCTTCCGTTTTCATACATTGCAGTGCCATAGTAACTAAGATTACCTCCGATCATGACCTTTCGTACATCTCAATTTCACCGTTAAACATTTATCTGCAACTTTCACAAATGATAATAATGGCCGAGAAAATAAAGGAACAAGTAAACATCCGGCTGTAGATTTTCAGGAAAATTTGTTAAATGCAAATTATATTGTGTTGGACTTATATTTTCTATTTTAATCGTTCTCTTATATCTAGATGGCTTTGTGACTTATTCAAATTAGAGCAAAGGGTGTGAAGTGATATACGTATGTGCTATTAATAAGTAGTGCATTGTATGAATGAATCTTGATCTGATAAAACGAATAATTTAAATAATTAGATTATGGTAACCTCGTTACCTGAAACTTTAATAAGTATTCAGAAAGTAGTTAGAACTTGTACGTTTAATTATATTATGCAATTCAATAGGTTCTTAACGAATTTTTCAATAACTATTACGATAATGACGAATTCAGTTTTACTTTTAATAACTGATAACGAATTATACAATCAGGTGGAAATATTTTTCAAAAAAAGAAATAACTTTTACTTATTTGCAACGTTTATTAAATAAACATAACCGCTCTACATTTGCTAAATTTACAGATGAGCTTCAAATGACTTAGAGCGACAACAAGTGTTAAAAAAAACGAATTTAAATTAAATAAATATATAAATTAAAAAATTAAGAACATAATGGCTACATCCTAAACGAATACAGTTGGTAGACTTAGATTTTTGGCTGGTACAAGACCGAAATATTCGGCCTTTATTGTTCAGTGGACTTAGGAACGTGGGCCCTATAGGCGAGATCCTGCGCATCAAAAGTCCTTCCCCAACCTCCGTGTCCCGAACTGCCGCCGCCATATCCACCTCCAATGTCGCCACCATATCCACCACCACCGCCACTGCTGTGGACAGTTTCATGGGTGGCTATGTGACTGGCAGAATGTTGAGGGTGAGCTACGACCTCATAAGTCACATGTTTTCCTTGACCAAGAAGCTTCTTCAACCCAATAATGGCGGAAAGGACCAGTGCGATTTTACCAATCAAGAGGGCTTTACCGGCAATCAATGCAATCTTTCCAAGGGCCAGTTTAGTCAAAATACCACCAACGAGACCAAGAGCAGCCATTATAGGTCCCAAAAGTTTCTGAACCTTCTTTTTCTTGCCCCTACTTTCCTCAACCATGTTGTCTTCCTCGTAAATTCCATCCATGGCATCGTTAAAGGAACGTGCAGTTGAAGAGACCGCAGAAACAATGTCGCTCCCTTTAATGTCAACTTTAAGGGTGTGCGTTTGCAAGAACCGTTGAACTTTATTGAAGATTACGGATTCAACGGTGTCATCAGCGGTAAGCGCTCGGGGTGCCCCTTCAGGTTCAGCCCCCTCGACTTTAACCAAAGACACCCCATCGGTTACAGTAATGGCATCCTTCTGGTCGAGCATCTTGTCAACGAACGAAAAAATTTTGTATTTGATGCACGAAACGGTGTCCTTGCGAAGACAGTCCGTGTAGGTTGCGTCGAGAAGGTCATTTTCGGATCGGGCACTGCGGGCCGTTTCCTTTTCTTTATCGGTTGCCGGAAGGGCACACACTGACGCGATTAAAACACACGAAAATACGAGGAAGAAGTTGTTAGTTGCCATCGTGTTTCAGTTGTGACAAACGTAAGTGATCGACGGATTGTGATGAGGAGTGAGATGCGGCTTTTGTATTTATCACACTACCGACGTTCATCCCTCCTTCCGTTTCTTTGAAACAGAGTCCGCGTTGGTGCTGCAGAATTCGGGTCCGGAGCGTCATAGTAATGACCGCTGCGGGGCTATCTGGCGGACCGCTTTCTCACGAGGAGAAGAGACCTCATTTCGGCGTTTCCCCGTGCGATATGCAACGCACCTCCCAAGTTCCACTGACCTCACTCCATCGACGGAAAGTAGCGATGTCACGGTCTTAACCAAATATTGTAATTGTCAGGTGTCTATTATTATTGCGTGCTCCATCGGCAACCAGCCGTCAGTCCGGATGGACGCACCGGAAACGCTCGGGGCGGATCTGGAGGCTTCGTTGGATTAAGTTAAGCATGAGACATATTATACATACCATGTTCCTTCGTAGATCCACACAGTCGCACACACACACACACGTGGGTGTTTCGCAGTACCTCACGGCCACGGTGATGGCCAGACAACAGGTGTTATGACCGTCAGGCAAAGAAATAACTGACCTAGTTCTCGGTGGACGATGCGAAATCGAAAAGAGGAAATGTCTTGTTTGGATCGTGCCACACCTGCGTAACGATTTTTTTGCGGTATGTCTACTCGAAAATATAACAGACTCGTCGACAAAATTTGAGAGGCTTGAAAGCGACCAGTTATAAAAGAGATACTGAAAGCGCTTCATAATACGTTACGACAGTAATTGTACGAGAGTTAAAAGCACGTTTGAGATTCTTTTTCTTGTTAAACATTCATATTCTCAGCCGTTTTTATTGTGAAAAGAACACAGAATAGATTGCGATATTGTTCTGACATTTTGATCATGCATGAAATATGAAGATTGGAAAAACTTTGGCGGTTGTTGTAGAACAAACAAAATAGCTCAAAACCCCAACGCCAAAACACGACACTGTAGTTGTCCGAAGCACTTTTCGGTAACAAAGTTACCTTCTTCAGGGACTGAAGTAAACTAAACCTAAATGAGAACTAATCCTAATTTATACTGATAGTTGTTAAGGTTCAGTGAACATGACCCGAAGCCAACAAGGTAGATGTTCAATGGACCTTAACATCATCATCATAAACGTAATTAAACTAAACTAAATAGCGGAGATCCAGGGAT